TTCTGTTCCTCCCCTAATTTTGGAAGCCTGGGTCTGTATCGTGGAAATCATGGGTATGAGGTATGTAGGAGACAACAAAAGCTCAATACTTTGCACAACCTCCGCCTCGAGTCTCCCCCAGGGGCTGCGTCGTGACACATAAGTAGATCTCGGGTCAACACCACCATGGAAGCAACCGAACGAGGTTCCAATTCGGATGAAGTTCCAAGAGAAAGAGTCGCTGTATGCCTGCCATGGGACAGGCAGTCCACATCCGAAGCTCAATCTCATAACAAAGGGTTTCGACACCGGTCAAGATTGGAAGGGCTAGTCTGTGGGCTTGTAATGCTCCTGGGCCACCTTAGTCACGGTTTCCATGAACTCTAGGAGCTGCACTGTCACGAGAAGACTTCGCGAATCCAGACCAGCAATTGACTCCGTTCCTCATGTTTACACACGCTGTATGTCTGCGCTCTCGGGTTTCAGTGGGAATCACGCGCTGAGAAGGCGAGTACTGATATAATCACCTCCTGTCTCATCCGCGACGTCCGCGCAATAATCCCAACTACCCTGTCAGGTAGGCGTGCGACCTCCCTAATAACGGGCATATTATATCCCAGTATATGTTGGTACCAGGCCTGAGACCTTATAACATACTCTCTGTCTGATGCTTACGTATAATTATGAGCTGTGAACTCGGGGCCCACTGTTTTAGACTGGTGCAATTTGTTGCACCTGATGGCGCAGATTCGATAGCATGGGCTGGCGAAGACTTAGGGACCGTGCAACCGACGCTTGCCCTCCCTCGAATGCACCGGAATTTCAACCCTCTCATTCACAATCTCGAGTTCTTAATTTGGTGGATGCTCACGAGTGCCTGGTGAAATAATAAGCCCTCGATTTAAAGTCCTGTATGTTCATGCATGTGACAAGAGGCAGGTGTTCAAGCTTAGTTTCTAGCTTCCGTCTGTGAAGATCAGACAGACGACGCAAGACGCGGCCCAGTCGGAGGGAGGTCATACTGATAGGCTCGAGGCTATCCAACGATAGCTGTATAATAAACTATCGGGGGCAAATCTGTCTTGAATTTGGACCTCCTAGATCCAACAGACACGCATTTCTTAGCCTCTTCACCAATATCGGACGGTGTTTTCCTGTATTTGTACGTACCGGATCTGAGGAAGTTGAAGAGGGTATGTTCTATAACCACGTCTGTGCTTTCTATCGATGTTTGACGCACTTTCAGTCAGCTCCGGAATCTTAAAACACGTCAAATGATGTGGGAAATGTCTTTTTATAGTGTAGAGGGGTAAAATATGAGCCTTTTTGTAGGTAGCAGATGCTATCCACGTTCCATGAACACACGTGTCAGGCACCCTGACGTGTTGCATCGATCGGTGGAGGCCATTATTCCATGAAAGACTTTGAGTGTGTCCCTTTCACGCTACTCCTTGACCTCAGATACGTGTTAAGATTTATTGACCTCGCAAGCATACCCCAGCGTGTACCTGGGAACAAATCCACCTGCAGGACCGCCGTCAGTGTTGAATCGGGCTCGGAAGTTGGCACACAGTCGCACACCTACAAGAAGTCCGTCTTGGCCGGAGATGCCTCGTTGCCTCTTAAGAACCAGTGGATGTGCTCCACGAGAATCTTCGAAGACACCATGTGTACGAGGGCAACGGAATAAATCACGTTGTGAGCGCGTTCAGATGATAGGTGGAGTGCACCAACCGCAACTGAGACGGCGCATAGTTCGGGGTTTCAGACGTTCCAAGTCTCTTATTTGTGACCTGTCCCGCAGGCGTGGGGAACCACACTATCAAGCCGTGACAGCCCGGAAGCCAGGCGCTTACGGTGAAGAGTTGTACTCCCGCGGACGGAGAGGACTCTCCTCCATTCTCCACATGTGATTCTCCCACAGACCTTTCAAGACCTTGACGAGCTCCACTGGTGCATGAATAATTTCATATTTTGCAGAAACCAACACAGCACTGTTTATGAAAGTCGTTTCCGTTCATAGGTGGAAAGGCAACATTGCGCGCCTTCACCTACGCCGTGGCCACAGTCAGCATCCGGTATACCCCATTGAAACTCAGCTGGCCTCTCTCCGCGCACAAAGATTGGTGCAGTCTCTCACTTTTGTGTCTGATGTAGCTAGTTTGGCAACGGTATTCCCCAATTCGCATCTAAGATTGAAATCACAGTAAGTGGTTTGATCTGTGCATCGATAATAGACTAGACACCGAGTTCATTCACGAGTCTGGTTCCCGAAACCGATTTCATCAGTTCCGTCTCGCACCAATTTCCATTTCAAGACCACTACGACGTTATATACAAACTAATTGTACAGCAGCATACATGAGATCCTTGCAATACCGAGTATTGCCAGATGTCATAGCTGGCATGGAAAGGCGGGTGTCCGAGATTGGCCCCGGTTCTACTCGTCGAGTTTACTAAACTATGGTCCTTTCCGTTCACCCTATTTCTGCCAATGAGATTGGTCAAACCCAGATAGATTCATGTAACAACGAAAGAAGATGAGAAATTATCCATGACTATGATAACATAAAGAACAGCCTGTTTGACTTCCTTTTTCGAAGTGAGTATATACTCAGAAGGACTAGGAGACGGTCTATTTGGAATGAATTTTGCAGGAAGAATGTATATCTAAGAAGGTCTATATTAGTATCAGTAATTCCCAGAAGCATCTCGCAGCCCAGAGAGGATACGATAGGAGTTCGTAGCTGAGGGCACGCAGACATCAAGCTATATCTCAAACTCAAACCTGTTGCAGACAATATAATAGGAAAACATGCTCTCTGCAATTATGAACAGGCCTGTGGCAGGCCTCGAGGGGTTACAGCAGGTCTTCAAGGACGCGAGTGAGGACGGCGGAAAAGGATCTGAAGTGTGAAACATATGCAGATTCAACTTATTTTCTTTACTGTTCCTCCGTAAAATGCATTTTCGTCTCCTGAAGATACGTATGCTGAGGGTGGCTTCCACGAGCATTCAGGATCCTCAAATACATCATTTGGTAGTCCTATGCGACAAAGAAGGTACGTCGTCAGAAAGGCCCCATCAAGCAATGGGCAATCTGCATATTATCGTGCTCGGTCCGCCATGAGTAGCTATGGAATTGGACTATTTCGTACTGCCACTTCCATGGTAACGTCCGCGCAGACTGCCAGATAGTGTGCACAAAATACATCGCCAATTACGAGGGCCGATATAATGTCACTTATCTGAGGTATGTAAACATGGTCGAGAGCTGGATGAATCAAGCTTCTAATGTAGCTCGAGACGAGGACGGTGTTAGTTGCTGGCGCAAGGGCGCGGAGTGTATTTAGCACAGGATTTCAGAGGAAGACATGCAGAAGTCTGTGTGACGGCAGATTATATTCACGAGACCTAACGATGGCAAGCAAAGCGAAGAGCACTGAATGCAGACAAAGCATGAGACGTTTAGACGGCGAATGAGAGTGACAATTGGAAATCTGAGAAATGAATTTGATCTCAAGAGACAATGCCATGGAACCGAACCTGGCCAAGTGTATTGTTGAGGATGGTCTCCCTAATCAATAACGAGCAGGTGGTGCTCATCAACGTGAGATACGATCAGAGAAATGAGCTGCTGTGGTCTCAGCAGTCTACATGCTTTTTGCATGTCTGCATATATTGTGTGGCAGAATACCTAATGCTTTTCTGGATAGAGCATTATTATAAACAAGCCTTGATCTACTCTGATATCGGCATTCCTGGCCAGTTCAGCACTTCAAATGGCGTAAAAACAGGCTGTTTGGAGATTTTCCATTAAAGGGCAACTCCACTTGGTCAGTAGAAACCTCCATGTCAGTGACATCTGAATTGTAGGCGACCGGAAGTGAAAGAAACATCGCTCTCGCCCCAACACCTTGGGAGATTTGTTTCTTTTCACGTGGACGCAGTGGGTTGCGAATGAACCACTTTATGATTTCGTCGCCATTTAGCACAGGCCCAGAGGCCAAGTCAAAATTTCCCAGGTACTTTCCCTGGTACTCTCTACTCTAAATGTTTAACTCAAGTGGCGACAGCTTTGACAAGTTCACAGCCCCAGGCTTACCTCTTCATTTTTCAGAAAAGCGGATTGACTCTGGCAGTCCAAGAAACGATACATACTGTCAATGTGGTTGAATATCAGCAATTTCTGGACATTTGTATACCTGGGTAAGGATTGGATCTTTACAGTTCAAATGTAACAGAAGAAGACAAGGCTTGAGCTCAAGGATCCTTAAGACCTTGGGATCTGCGAAGTAGTATGATATATGTCGAAGAAGTTGGTAGCAAGACTAGCGATCAAGCGCTGGTGGAACATTTGTGTAGCATTGGCGTTTTCTTCTGAGTGGATAGGAAGTAGAAGAACGCTGAGGAATGGTTTTGATTACTGCGAGTTCTGGATTGATCAAGCTTCATAGCACACCTTGTTCTCGAAGTGATAGACGTAGGCCATCGGGCCGCTCATCATACCACATCTTAAACAAGGGGCCGAAGCCCAACCTCCTCCTCCAACAACAAGTGGCCGAAGCCCTATCTACACACAATACCGACAACAAGTGGCCGAAGCCCTATCTACACCCAATACCGACAACAAGTGGCCGAAGCCCAACCTCCTCCAACAACAACAACAAGTGGCCGAAGCCCAAACCCCCTCTAACAACAAGTGGCCGAAGCCTATTCCGCATTCTCCTTGTCGGAATCCGCGTCCTCTTTCACGATCTTCGTGAAGCTGGTCTTGGAGTCATATTTGACGTCAGGATGGTGCTTCTGAATCCGATCAAGGATCTCCTCTTCGCCCCTCGCGGGTAGACTGCGGTCTGGCTCATTGTTTGAGACTATCAAATTGGTCAGAGGTAGCATTTCAAATATTCAGAACGTGTCCGTTTTCAACCAGGAACATCTGAATCCGATTCAGCGAGGCGGCAAGATGGGCCCTGGCGCCGAAGCTGTTCTGAGGGCTCGGACTAATGACCAACCGCATGATGCTTAGGCGCTCCAAGAAGAATCACACCAATTCAATAGATGAGTCAGTGAAATACATTTACGTTCATGGCCAGTTCTTCAGCGAGGCACAGAATAGCTTCGCCAACAGCATCCTGACGAACGGCCAGCGTGAGCTCAAGACCTATGTCGCTCCTGGTGTTCTTCTCAACACCTCAGGCTATGCCAACATTTCTGGCATTATCATGCAGATCGTACACGTGGCTGATCATCCTGATCTGATATTGAAGAAGAATTCCCAGTACGAGCAGAACATTCTGATATCTACAATTCTGGTGCATGCAAATGTATGGAAAACAGGTTGCATTTGTCTGCACAGCCAGGGAGAAAGCTCTCACCGGATGATGCCTTGTAAATACATTCGGAGAACATTCTGGCACCGCTCACTCCATCCCGAGTGCAGGGTTTACAATACTAGCAGAGATAGCGTTATATGCAAACGACTTTCATGAAGAAAGATCTGATAGGAGCTTCAACTAAGAAGACAGCCATATGTGGATCTCATCATCTCCAGCTCAAAAGCAATCGACATGTTCACATATCTTCGAGAGTTCGATCTCCCTGTTTCAGATCGAAAGTCCTTGCAAATTTTAAAACGTTCAAATAGCAAACCACTAGTACTAGACAGCGAGGGAAATATATCTGGCATGTTAGGTTCGCTTGTGGCCCATATGGGACTGCGTGCCATGTACGACTCGTGTCTCGTTACTATTTAACTGTGCGTTTCAATAGCTAATTCGCGTAGCTTGGAGGGATCCGACCCTTGAAGTAGCCCCTTACACAGAAACTGTGATGACAAATGGAGGAAGCAAACTTGCAACGGCTCATCCAATTAGAAGAAACTGCTTACTATGAAAGTTATGGTTATTATGCATTGAGGAAGTGCTATTTTGGAGTCGTAGCAATACTACTACGGAGATTTGATTTCCATGGAAGATCCAATTCTACTTGATCTTCGGGTCAGCCGATGGAGTTCTAATCGTTTCCCACATCAGGGCATATCCGTCATTCTAGGAGAGGACCAATCCAAATTTGGGACATGATTATATTTGTAGGCTGGAGATTCCATAATATCACTACCCATATATTTAGAGGAAAGTTCAGCCACCATGACATGGCCTCCGTAACATAGCCTCTTAGTTCTCAAATGCATTTACTCCCAAGAGCCGAAGACACCTGGATGCAGATACATATAAACACAGTGTCAGTATGTGACCATCCATGCAGTTTGGTTGTGTGTAACGCACAGCCTTGCTTAAAAGGCGCCTGGGGTTTGATATAAGTGGTCTCGTTTTTAATCTGTTCACATATGCTTCTTAAGCAGTATGCATCCAGACGTTTGAGATAAAATGCACACTAATTGGCATGTACTATTAATTTAGTCACAAGGGCATCCATGGAAGAAGATGACACGGTATAGCTTGGTATCTGCCGCGATGTTCAAGCAAGTTTTGTATTCTTTTAAGCAGCATAAGCATAGACTGACAGTTGGCACAGAACTTGTTCAAGGGCAAATTCAGGCGCACTGAAGCCATAACATTCTAAAGAAAATTGAAAGAACCCAGAAATTTCCTTGTGTCAATAATGCCACCTCTGAAAACTCCTCCAGATACCTGTGTGAAGCGACTGTGCAGCAGGTACCTTAATCATGGATACTCTGAGTAGACGCACGAGATTCGTGTATATCTCCTCTACCCTGGAGAGAGGAGGATACCAGTGACTGAACTTTGCCTATGGTCTGAAGTGGTCCCAGCATGGCTCAGCTCATTACAGCTGCTGGTTCATGTTCAAGACTTGTGCTCGAAGCATTGCTGTTACCTCGTGTCCCACTCCGTTGCTCGCACAGCCACATCAATAAGAAACTTAGGAATGACATTCAGAACTAATTTCACATACCTCACAATGTAATTGGTATTAAGGAAGGGCATGTGATACTTGTCTAGTCTTGCCCCGCACATGCTCTTCATGAACAAGTAAATTGACCTAGTTCCCCAAAGATGCAAAATCTCTTGTCATCCGGAGTTAGGCTCACTGGTCACAATCAGCTTCTGCCACAAATGATATTTGCAAAGACTCTTTGCTGCCAACCGTCTGTGCCGCACGACGTGCTTAACAGACAGCCCAGATCCAGACATGGCATCTGACCTGGCCCTGAATTCCTGTCAATAGCAATCATTATTTTTACTCAGCTACCTGTATTTCTTGATAGAGATTCACTGTACCAATTCCGGCCTTGAAGCTGCGCTCCTTCCTGCTGTTCGTCACATTCTAAGTCGTCCTCTGTCTAAGCGAAACCCGTTCACAAGTCAGCCCTGCGCTGAAAGCCGCAATAGGCAGACAATGACTCTGTCGCGGGATTGACAGCTGTCTCAGTTCCTTGCAGAATTTTCGTTGGCTTTACCCACGTTGCTCATAACGCATCTTCAATGCCCATGCAGCAGCTAGCAGGTTTCATAAGTTCACAGCGGCCTGGCTGTGGATGAACCGCGAGACCAAGTTGCGAAAAAGATCTGAATCTGCTGCTGGTGACCACACTCATTACAGCCCAAGAACAGGATAAAGCTTGAGCCTGATAATTACATGCAGCATCCTGCCAAAGTCATACACATTCTCCATACCAATAAGTCAGTCACCAATGACCCAAAAAAGATATTCAAGCCGTTTAAAAGTCTTATTTACTAACTCATTTATATTCCAGTTAAAGTCGAGCCATTATTACAAGCAATCAACCCAATTTGCCAGATTCACCCTTAATAAGCTTTTATAGGATATATTTAGCAACTAAGATTAAAACAGCACAACCTACTTATGTATGAAATGGTGAGTAGTTTAACCGCTGGAATATTGCGACTAATGTACTCATGTGTAGCTCTTGAAGTTAAGAGTAGATCATGTAATGGAGGAGAAAGGGGAGTAAGAAGAGAGAAAAAGAAAAAGAAAAAAAGTAACAACGGCCAATCGCCCGACGAGGGACTCGAACCCTCAGCCTTCCGATTTAAATCTTTTGGTCGTAAAAGTCGGACGCTCTGACCCTTTTTTCATCTCTCAGCCTTTTTCTCTTAAAACGGAATGGTGAATTCTTACATTGAGCTAGCCGGGCTGCTATGACATGGGCCGATTTTTCTTAATTATATTCCCACATATCTTGTTCTTAGTAAGCTACCACATGACTCGCGCAGCAGGTTTGCAAGACATGTTCTCAACAACTATATTGAGAAATGGTGAGCCCTGAATCAGAGGATGTAAAGAATTCATCTCACAAAATACGCCCACTTATCACACTCAACGGCATCATGTCAACGCGGCACCATGTTAATCGGTATCAGAGACTGGAAGTAGTGCCGCCCTCCTTACCAGGAGGGGGAAAAAAATATCAGAAGCACCCGTGGGATCTCCACCCTCAAAATTGATTGAAGACGTCATGTAATGGAGGGCCACCCCAGACATTTCTAGCATCACCACGAGCAAGAGCAGTCCCAACGAAAACATTGTTGCCCCAATGCCCATTGGGTCCGCTCTCCATCATTCCTGCCCTGTGCTTTTGAAGCCTTTCCAATCGAACCCACTTCAGCCGTGTCTGTGTCTTGTATATAAGGGCCCACATACGCATTGTCTGCTTCATCTCCCATGGATGGTTGGACGTAGTAAAGAACACAAACAGCTTAACATATGGCCAACTCTAAAGCGCAGGCATCTCCCTTTCGTGAAGCTACGTTGTGCGGAAACAGTCTTCTTTCTATCTCGTAGATGAATCCACATGACCTGTTGAATTTGTCTGTGAGTATATTGTTCTCAGCCTTTTACGAGACAATCTGAAGTTACTCGTTCACTCTTTCGTTCTTCTCGTATTTAGTCTACAAGGTGGCTTATTCAAGGTCGTCCAAGCAGGTACTTTCGCAGATTGGAGAAGACGGGGATGCTAGACAAATATGATGAAACTAAGCCCCGTCAATACCATTCGTTTTGCCCAGCCCTGTGTTCTCATCACATAACAAAGAACAGAATATGGCAATGCTCCCAGGGCCATCCTGCTGTGCTAGTCCTGTGGATGAGTGCTGCTGCAAACTCTAGTTGTTTGATGTTGGTGTCTAGGAGATAGTTTCACCTAACCTACAGTCTCATTCACACTTGAATGCCAGGTTGTAAGTGTTAGTTGCGGCCAGAGCATAGTCATGTCTTGACCTGTTATGCTAAATAAGAATAACGTCCCCAGCCCAGATTCCGACATACCCCTGATTCCAACCACCCTCGGCACCCATACACGCCTTCTCTTTAACGTTAATTACCCACCATAATAATGCATAATCCCTCTTCTATTGGTATTTTCAATTCTCCAGAAGCATCGCCTTCTTCCAATACCCTCCCTACGTTAATTTAGGCATAATAAATAGCCTTAATATTAGTGAAAGCCGCATTTAAGTTAATTTAAACCTTTTTTTTTATATCCTTTAGCTAGCTTTAATTTAAGCTTTTAGTTATTAATCTTTTTATAAGGTTATTATTAACTAAGTTTTATTATTATTATATACTTTAAAAAGCTTTTTAAAAAGTATTTATAATATAAGGCTTATATATTTCTTATAAGTATAATGGGTTATTAAATGTTATACCTTTTAAGATTGCTTAAAAGTTTTAAAAATAGGTTTTAATTGCTATAAAAGAGTTTTTAATATAAAGAATTGCTTAATAAAGATTTTTATTATATTATATTTTAATAATTCATGCTTAATTTAGCGATTTTTAAGAATATAATGATTTTTAAGTACCTTATGCTCAAATATTAACTAAAGACCTATTTTTTTTTATTTTAATAATATATTTATTTTTATAAGTACTTTCTTTTATACCTTATAATAGCAATAAAAAAACGTTTTCTTTGCTATTATTAATAAGTTATATTACCTTAGTTAATGTAAATACTTTTAAAATGCTATTTTTAATAAAGAAAATATCGCTATATTAAGAGGTTAAAGTATATGCAAAGTATATATAGGTAAAAAAATTATATATATTTAATATAAAAAGCACTTTTATATAAAGTTAATAATTATATATATATAATGCTTATTTATTATTAAACGTTATTACTTAAAATAATTTATAAGGGTAATTTAAGGAATAAAAACCCTTTTTAGCTATTTAATAGCTATTTTCTCTTTTATTCACCCCTTTTTTATAATAATAAATTACCAGCCCTTATAATTAATAAGGGTAATTAAAAACCATTATTATTATATACTTAATCCCTTAAAAATAATAAGAGACTTAAGCAATTTACTTATAATAAATATATATTTTATAAAGAAGGTTTATGCTCTTAAATTAAAGTCCTTTTATAAATAAAGCTAAAAATAAGGGCATTTTTAAGCAACCTTTAATTAACCCTTTTTTATTAGCATTTTAATAATACGCTAGTTAAATAAACTTAATAATTAACAATTAAAGGAAATTAAATTAAATTTTAATATTATTTTTTATAATTAATTAAAGATAAATAGCCTTAATATATTAATTTTTTTAGCTTTAAAGAATAAGGTAATAAAAAAAGAAAGCCCTTAGCTAATTCCTTTAAAGGAGAGCGTAATCTTTATTTAAACAAGCTATATAAGCTCTTAAAGCTCTTATTTTAAATTATATTAATATTAACCCTAGGTTATTTTAATTAACTATAAATAAAGTTAATTAAGCTTTTTAATAATTAAAAAAAAAGCCTTTAAGGGTTAATAATAATACAATAGCTTTAAATACCGTTAAAATAATTATATAATATAATATAAAGAATATATTATATTTTAAAGGCTTGCTAACTTAATATTTTATTGCTTATAATATTAAGGGCATTAAGAATATCATTTTTAAAGTATTACTTTATAATAAGGAGAATAATATTTAAGAAAAGTTTGGTAACCAGGAAAAAATTCCTTATAAAGATATTAAGGAGTTTATATGGGGTGGGTACAGATGCGTTTATGCACGTATGCGGGTGTGGGGCGGTCGGAATCAGGGGTATGTCGAAAGCTGGGCCGGGGACGTTACTCAGCTAATCTTCCTCAAATTCAAGGATATTAAGTATTCATTTCTAACCAAAGAGAATTCCAAATAGCAACACTGAACTGTTAACTCTCAGAATAAGGCAAAGACCTGTTTACTACGGCAGCGGAACTAAAATTGCCACTATGTATCAACGCATTAACAGTAGCCTTTAAGTTCCCAGTGAGCATCTTCCCATGTGCCAACGATGGCCTATGACAGCAGACTCTGTGGTAGTTCCATTGTGTACGCTACCTTGTCATCATTAAATAAGTCTTTGAAATATTAATAAAGTTATGTGTAGTTTACTAGGTCCGCTGCATTATAGCCAGCTGATGATTTATAAATTTAGGGGGCTGCACTGAGCATATATGTTGTTAAGGGAAGTACGGTTCTCATTATAGATTATAACTTTAGTTATATAAATTAAAACAAATGTAAGTGGCAATACTTCTTATCTAGAAAAGCCTTGTAAGCACGCCTTAAAGTTAATATTAAACCATTATTAAACCGTTAAGATTTATATAGGCCTCCATTTTATATTTAAATAAGTTTCATGACTTAATTTCCTAGCTACCCGGGCTGTTTATGTAAAATCCTTGTGAAATTATAGCTTATAAAGCGTGTAAATGAAAGCTTAATTAAAGCCTTAGCTTTAACTTTTATTCTTTTAAGTAAGCCTTAAAATTATTAATTTATAACATTTTATAATTATCTTTAAAAGCTTTTTAATTAACATAATTAACTTAATTATAAAATAATAAATTATTACAAAGGTTATTTAATTAGCTTATTAAGTAAAAGCTTTAATTTATAACGTAGTTTATTATTAAGTGGCGCATATTATTAAGTGGCGCATTTTTGCAATATTTATTAACTTTTACTATTTATAATACCTACTTAATATAAAGAAATTAATTAAATTTAACATTAATTAATGCTAATTATATTTAATTCTTTATTTTTATTTAATTTAATTAATTTAAAGTAATATAAATAGTTATAATGTTAATAAAAGGAATTATTTTTTAATAAGAATTGCGTTAATGCTTTTTATATTAATTTTTTATTAATTTACCTATTTAAATATTTAATGCATTAAACATTAATATTTATTATATTAAAACCTTTTAAGAAAATAAAATTTATTTAATTATTTAAGTAATTAAGAATTTTAAAAAAGATTATATTAAACCCCTTAACTTATATTAAGCTATATAAATTTTTAATATTTTTAAAACTATATTATATTATAAAATAAACTAATAATACTTTTATAAATATATATATATTAATTAATATAAACTTAATTAAATTAAAAAGCAAATGCTTATTTAATATATTATTAAGTAAAAGATTTAAAAATTTCCTTTATAACTTTTTAATATAAAAGATATAATTAATTTTTTATTAGCATTATATAATGTTAAACCTATTAATAAGTATTAAATTTAATGCTTTATAAATATATAACTTAATTTAATTAAATTTAATTATCCTTATCATTATTAAAAAACTCTTTATAAAGATTTAAAAATTATTAAAAATTAATTTAAGCTTTTTTATAATATAATAATTAAATATTATATTATTAATAATAATCTTTATAACCTTAATAAGATTAGCTTTATAATAAACATAATAGCTATATTAATAATTATTAAATATATTAATAAATATAAAAAGGTTAAATTAATTTAACTTAACAATTAAAAATAAATAATTATTATTAAATATATTAATATAAGTAAGTTATAAATTTTATTATTTATAATTATTTAAGGCGCTTATTACTTTATTAGCTAAGTAATAAAGTTAAATGTTTTAATAATTAAGTTATTAAGCTTACTTTTAATAAATAAATAAATAATTAAATTAATTTAAAATAAATTTAATACTTTAATAAATACTTTAAATTAAATAGAAATGTTAATTATTAAATATTAATTATTATTATGGTTTAGGCTTTGCTTATTATAATTAATTAATGAGCTTTAGCCTTATAAAAATAAGCTTTAACATAAATATAAATAAAAAGCAAACCTTTTCCTTTATACTTTAAATATAAAC